CAATTGACAAAAATTGATCTCTGTATCTCTGTCATATTAAATATCTGTAATTACTTCTATACGTATATATATATATATATATATATATATATATATATATATATATATATATATATATATATATTTAAAATTAAATAATATAGACAATTCTTGTCTATTTATTTTATGTAAATTCTTTTCATAATGTCTGATAAGCTTAATAACATTATCATTAAACGAAGAAAGAAAATCACAATATTGATCTATATTTTTAAATCCAATCTAAGCTTTCGGCTTACATTAACCATTGTCAAAGTTGTCAATTACTGTACTATATATTAGGCATTATACGGACAAGACAGTCATGTTAGTCTGTTATTGTTTACATGGACGATTTCCAAGCAATGATAAACACATGCGTATAAGACATAACACATGACCACGCGAGAGTGAATTCGAGAAGTATTAAGTATGGGAAGCCGTTGGTATAAACCATTGGCTTCTGTTAACAATTATAGGCATTTAATGATATTTGTGGAGATTTCATAGTTGATTTTGTTTAGGTTAGATTTCAACTGTTTTATGTATATAGCTTCAAGAACTTTTAGTTTATATATACAATTATTATTATTATTATTATTATTATCATTATTATTATTTCTCAAACGTTATTATTAATATATACTCGTATTTAAGCAGACATTCTGTTTATTTATTAAACAATATATTTATTTACTTTCGTTTACCGGCCTGAATATTCGAGATAGCTTATTCGAAAAAGGAATATACTCTCTCCATCAGGATTCGAACCTGCGTATTACATCATCCGTGATTTGACCTCTTGGCTACAAAGTGCGTCGCTGACGAATCAAAGTTGAATAATGCCTTTAAACACAGACTCTTCTTTGTCTTTTGAAATAAACATATCTGCTCAGCTTCATATCCTAACGTAAACCAAGCAACTTCTGGGGAAAAGGATTGATTTTTATATCTATTTATTCGACAGCATTTATTCAAATCGAGTATCCACTAAAACAACGTTTACGTAATAAAAATCTGTCGGACAAATGAATTTAATAACCATCCCTTACTCTCTCTCTCTCTCTATCTATCTATCTATCTATCTATCTAACGATGTATATATATATATATATATATATATATATATATATATATATGAAGAAATATAGTCTTAAGGTGTGCTATATTTATAAGATAAAGTGCTGAATATCAAATAGAGCGTGTGTAAATATAAAAGTGAACATTGAATTCAACACTTAGAGGTGACAGTCTTTTTCATGCTAAGTATTGACTTCAATGTTCACTTTTACATATATATATATATATATATGTGTGTGTGTGTGTGTGTAGTACAGTTAAGTATTGTTTTTCTCCTTAAAGTTTCTTTTATTTACGTACTATGAATAATTTTGTCTAAATACCATAAAATCTGAGACGCGACATTGTAGCTGTAATATGTTACTATCTTGTAGCGTTTTATTTCCGTTCAAAATTGTATTCTCCTTTTCAGTGTGGCTTCATTGGATTAAAATTTGTGAACAACTTCTCATATATTATTTTCTTCTCTTTCCTCTTCCTTTGTATCCGTATAATTTGGATATACTCCTCTCCTTGTTTTTCCTTTCTTTTCTTTCCATAATCTTGGTAGTCGGGTTGATTTCTTTTGCTTCTTATGCTTTTCTTTTCTTTCCTCTTCCTTTTCTTTTTATTGATTTCTTATTTTCTTTCTTTTTATACTTTATTTTTTTTTTTTTTTGCTTTTATGGAAAATTTTCCAAAAATGTAAAAAGAAGTGATGTTTCAGAAATTGTAATTTTAAATAATTTTTTATTGCCATCATTGTTAAAATTGTCTGATGAGACGTGTTAAAAGTCAAAACAAAATATGCAATTTTGTAATAGTAACTATCATGATCTAATTTAACAGTGTATAATAAAATATATATATATATATATATATATATATATATATATATATATATTGTAATCCACAGGCAGACTGTTTCGCAGCTTATCAGTGTGACTAGATATAAGATTTCTTCAAGCTTGGATCGAGAACCGACTGATTTGTTATACTTTTACATAAACCCGCCAGTGTCTGGAGAACTCGATTCGTCTTATCTAAGAGTTTTGTATCAGCAGTAGTAATAGTCAGTTTACAAATTCACTTTTCTCCCCGAGAGTTCAACCGAAATAATCTTTTTCGGGAGCATATACAGTGTAACCCGGATATAAGAGAGTTGTCGGGACCGGAGAAGAAGTCTCTTATATCCGGGTTTCAATATATATATATATATATATATATATATAATCAGTATCATCTCATGGAAGGCAATAAAGCTATTAAGACACATGTTATTACAGGTTGTAGAAGAATTAGGAACAGAGCCATTAATAAACAACGGGAAGAGAATAGTGTAATCAGGGGGACATTAAATAACGATTAACATTGCATTTAAATTTTTGCAGATTAAATTTTGCTGAAATGCATTGAACGGGAAGGTAGAAGTGCGAGAAAAACTTACGGTTACATCTAGGTGTTGTATTCTCTTCTATGTTGGAAATGAGTGTTGGTCGGACTCATCAATTAAATCTTACTAGTATATTAACCACATCGACGGGTACACATTCTATCTAGTGGGGGTTACTACACACCCATATTTGTGAGCCGCTTCCAAACACAAAATCTCACAAGTCTACTTCCATTGGTGCCTAACAACCAACCCTCGAAAAACCCTTCCCAACTGCGTCTAGTTAGCTCGACTTCCCAACAGCAAATCCCTAAAAACCTTAATCGACTTCCCTATTTTGTCTAACATCTGAGCTTAAAAGTCGGCCTAAGAATGTCTGGGCCAAAATATACTGCCGCTAAATATAATAATCTGAAACTATAATTTAACACTACTTAACTAAACATAAAAAAAAAATCATTTATGAATTTTATTTCAACTACATTAGATTTAACATAGCTCACCTATAAATTGCTGAAATCTCGACGCCATTCATGTAATGCGCTTAAATTCAAAAAGTCCAGGTACCATAGCAAAGATCCCATCCAAACACTTACCGTGAAAGTTTTTATAAAAAAAAAGACACAACGAGGCAACCTTACGGAAGTTGGAAAACAAGATCAGGACCAATAATATTGCTGATTCTTCTTTGGATTTTATCAAAGATCTCAAGGAATATATATATATATATATATATATATATATATATATATATATATATATAACGTAAATCTGTTTAAATTCGGTGGGTGAAAAAACTGGATAGCACAATTTTCAAACAAATTCGTATCCGAAGAAAACCTCTGGAAAAAAAATGAATGAACCAGAAACCACCTCCGAACAGAGAGAAATTAATCGTCCAGTGTCTTAAATGTGTGGTAGAAAGAAAAAAAAAACAGCGAGTAGTAAGTTAAAATGAAGAATGAAAAATACGCTAAGTAGAGGAAAAGTAAAATAAATAAATCCTAATGAGTCAGGTACTACTACGTACCTACCTACCTAGGTTTCCCTAGATGGGATGATCATGATGATCCCATGTGGTGAAACCTAGGTATATAAGTAATGGAAATTTTGGTAATCCGTATGGATAATCCCAAGGAGGATATAATCCAGAGAGCTCAATGTCAAATCAGAGCAATTATTAATTTAAATAGAAAACAAACAACCCTAAGGGTCCATGGACCCTTAAGGTGGTCTGTTTTCTATTTAAATTAATATATATATATATATATATATATATATATATATATATATATATATAAAAATATTATATTATATTATATAATAACTTTTCTCTGCGCAGTGCTTAGCAATCGCGTATCATCTACTAGTGGCTTTCTACCATTATTAGTTGTTTAATATATATGTGCATGTGTGTATAAATGTGTCTGCATTCGTTCACATTCAATTTCATTTTGTAGAATATTTCTTCAATATATTAACTTGGTCGCGTATGGTTTTGTTTTCTCCTTTTTGTTAAAGATTTGTCGTCTTACCAATCTCAGTGTTTATTCTGCTTCATGAATTCTTCGGCAGACCAAATCATTGGGAATCTTTAAAGCCGATGCAAAAGGGAAATGTTAAATAAAACGAAACAAAAATTCGAGTGTCAAACATTATTTCAGATGAATGTGAAGCACAAACTTATTAGTTAACTTGTTATCGTTATCATGACGGAAAAAAATGAAGACACGTAGTCGGTTCAACTGAAATTGTTAACCTTAGATCATTGACATTTATTATTGTGTATATATCTGAAAGCCTTTTAAAATATAGTCTTCAATTTTAGTGTAGGTCAATCAAAGAAAAAAACAAATACTGAAAAAGGCAAAAACAGTATTTACTATATCAATACTAGTCTGGCACAAGAAAAAAGAAGGATACGATTTTGTCTTTTAGCAGCACAAGTCCCAAAAGCCACTCAAGCTACAGGATTATTGAATGAGGTTGTTTAATGAACCTAAGAGGAAGGGGTAGTAAGTGCATATCATGAGAATATATAGAAAAATAACGGTTAAAATTTGTGAGTTCAATCCCTCCTCGTAGCAGAGAGAACAAAATTAAGTGGAATTAACTGAAACCGAGATATCCATTGCATGTTCAATTAGAGCAATCAACCACATGGGCTAAATAAAGGTCCCGGATCGAAATTGCAACAAATACTACCTGAAGAATGCCGGAGCATATAACAACCGAAACGTCGTAAATAAAGCAATGAAAATGAAGACAACTGTCCGAACAATGTAAATATTTTAAATAGATAAATAATGAAGAAACTGAGATAGATAGATAGATAGATAGATAGATAGATAGATAGATAGATAGATCCATGGTTGCCTTAACATGAATTCACAAGTCATCGCGACCAAGTGTTGAAGCGAACTGCCTTTTTTCAAACAGGTCATCACGCCAGATTATACACCCTTTCATAGGAAATGTAACTAAGGTCTGTTCAGAAAATTTGCTGTATACACCACTGGTTTTCCTGTGGATGTTGAACAAACACAAATGTGACGAAGCAGGCAGTTGCTGCAGGGATAATCCCACCCCCAGACAGTCATACTCGGGTACAAACGGCTACCCTATCTATCTATCTATCTATCTATCTATCTATCTATCTATCTATCTATCTGTCTAGCTAGCTAGCAAGATATCTAAGTATCTCTCTAGATAGATCAGTTATGTGCCCTGCGTGAGACACGCTTAGGCGATCATGTATCTTTCGATACATGTCTGTCAAGGCAGATTTTTTTCTCGCAGTAAGTTGCTATTTCTTTCTGCGGTAGACCAGTTGTCATCCAAGGCTATAGAACCCGGTCTGTTCTTGTATTTACCCATAGCTTAGATGAAGAAGATTCGTTACCTACACGAAAGTGAATGTAATGGATTCGACTGGAATTCGAATTCGACTCTCCGATTCCTCAATCCCAGCCGCTATACATTACCTCACTAATAGATAGATAAAGGGGGATTTAGATAGTCATCAACTTATTGTACTGTAAGCAAACTGATTCCAAATACATGAAAAAAAATCTTATAAAAAATCATGTCCATAGATATAGAATATTTTCTGACAGAAATAATTACTTTAGATTTATCAAATATTAAAAAAAAAGTTGTAAATCTTCAATATTGATGAAGTTTAACTTTACACAAAATATCTCTTTGCAAAAGACCAATATTGTATGCCAATTTTATTGACGTTTAGGAAACACTATTTCGGTTGATAATAAAAGAAAATCAACAAATATTGGTTCTATCACATTTCTCGAGAAAATATTGAACACTGTCCTCTTTCTGAAGTACTTGCAATTCACACAGATCTTCGTCGTGACTGATAATTTCGTCGACAGGACTATAGTTCTCTCTACCTTTAAGTACCAAAAACTATTACAAATCTTGAAAGGAACTTTACACTAAAAGAAAGAACTCGGCAATTAATAAAACCTGTTTCAATTTAGACGTATTTAAACTATAAATTTATATTTAGCACGTGACACTAAATTCTGTTTTATAGAAAGTAAATGGAAGATCATTTCAAAGGTTAATGTGACAAGACTAGAAACATGATACTAGTTAATTCTGGACTTCCAGTTTATTCCACTTTGGAAACAACCAACGACTTGGATCTTAACCTTTAATTTCAACAGGTTCCTTTGCATATCTCCACCTGATATACAATGAAAAATTTGGCATCAGCGGGACGGGCCAAAAATGTTCACACACACACACACGCATGCGCGCGCGTGAAGCTAGCAGATATAGATTAGTAGAAATCATAACGGGAGATATGTGTTCCTTAAATAAAATAGTGGTTGATGAAGATGGTCTCCGATGGTCAAATTCTTAGTAGCCCGTTTTGTCCCCCTTGGTGTAGATTTTATGTTGTATTTGCTAGGGAGATATGGTGTGATAAGTTAGTTGATGGCATTTGTTAATTGATAATCGAAAGTAGGAATTTGCGATATAATAGAGCGGACACGGTAGTTGTGTTTGTGTTTTTAAAGTGCCATATATGTAACCCGGCCTATAATCACCAAATGATTAAAAAAACATATTATTATATGTTTATTAAAATATTAAAAAATTGAAAGCATACGTTAATAAAATGAATTATGAATACTCCACAAAAATTTAAAAATGTGTACAATAGATAGTTTGAAATACCTAGCTTTGTACTAATAATTCTTCCCTTTATTTTTCTACTACTCATTTCATAAAAACTCTCCACAACATACCTACTTACTTCCCCTTAAACGATGTCTGAAATAACGTCTGACTCAGCACTTCTCACTCCACATATAAGAAATTTAATTTTCAAATGATCACAGCAATTTTTGCTTTCACAACAATGAACACTACAATATTTATCCTGTAATAAACAATACCATAGCAATGACATTGTGCTATGTCGAAAGTAATCGGAAATAAATATAATATGTATCAATACGGTGATTTCCGTTTGTTTTTTTTAATATTGACACCAAAAAGCTTATCAGGGAATATGAAAGGATCCTATCGAAAATTAGTAGACAGAACATGTATAAATTATTCAACGAAACATGTAACACACACACACACACACACACACACATATATATATATATATATATATATATATATATATATATATATATATATATATATATATATTACTTTGCTGCTGTACATATATTGTAGGAGTGGCGCACTTCGATGTGATGTAATGGTTAGAAATCTTGTTTCGCTAGACAGAATAGTGATCTCCAATGCGTGCTCCATACTTTCGGCCTTGTGCCATATCTACGTTACGCTTATAAAAACACCATATAGTGTAGCAGTGTTCAATGTAAGGAAAAAAACAGTTTGTAGATATAAACATTGTGTACATAATATTCAACGCTGCATGGCAAAAATTAGGTTTCATGCCTTACCTTATATATATATATATATATATATATATATATATATATATATATATACACACACACATATATATATATATATATATATATATATATATATATATATATTCCATGAAAATAAGTGGATACAATATAAATATATTTCCATGAAAATAAGTGGATACAACATTCAAAAACGCACTATCCAGCCGGGCTTAACCACAAATTAACAATATAGATAGTATTAATATATAACCCCACAAATCAGGGCCCACCCATATTTCTCACCTACACAAGACAGACAAGTTTACGGGGGTGTTGAGGCCTCAAACTTATACACACACCCACACGAATATACACATTTACACACATCATACTCACTCACTCCCTAAGGAGCCAAATGATAGAACACACCCATAGTAATATACACGCTTACACACATCGTATGCACTCACTCCCTAAGAACCAAATAACACACACACACTTAACAGAGACACATCCCCTTTCCAGGAACCAAGAAAACTGTCAAAATGACCAAAGGCATTCAGAGCAGCATGAATCCATCCAGCTCTTATCTTAAATAACAACTTAAAAGAGACTGTTTGGCCAACACAAGGACTGACCAAATTTCGTGTTAAAAAAATAAAAAAGACAAATGAAAACTACAGACAAAAGTTCATTTTCTCCATCAAGACATTCATTTCTCTAGTTCACAGCTACCAGAAAGCAGGTGTTTTTTCTCCTGATGATGGCCATGTTGGCCGAAACTAGTCGAGGAATATAAATGAAATAATAATAAAAACGAATGAATGTTAATATACAGCCCAGTGTGGATGAAGATTTAATGTTTTTAATATTTTTTATTGTTCAATACATATATATATATATATATATATATATATATATATATATATATATACGTGCGCCGGGACGTAGAAGTACGCAGGTTGGTGTCTGGGGGCGCGGATAAAACACTGGGAGAGATGCCCCCCTCAGTCCTTGTTATGACAGGCATCTAGGAGAAGGACACTCTGATGAAAAACCTGAGGTCTGTTGTTCATGGTGTACGTGGCAAACTTTTGCACCGGCGTCATGTTATCAGCAGTTCCAAGAAGTGTGGATGGTGCTACACAAGACTTCACCACTATAATCAAAGCATGTGTCGGTTTCTGACAACTTAATTCACGTTAAAATAACGTGTGTTATCTGACTGAAGTGTCACTTGCGACTCACACACGGGGTTAAATAAACAAAGTTGTTGGAACCTCATACGTCGAAACCGACGGGAGAGTCCATCATATGTGCGTGGGTGTGTTCCCAAGAATTAGGAAACTTTACATATATCATCGATAATGCCTTGTAATTTTAGCTAATGTTTAGTTTTTATCAGATCGCTTGCAAGTGATATCCACCAAAACTGAAAGTTAGCACTTGATAACCTGAGCCATATCAGAACTACTCTGGCCTATTTTTTTTCTTTTTTTTTTTTTTTTTTTTGTTAAAAAATTTTATCTGTATCAAATTCACTCAAATCTTTCTCCTTGCTAATGGCTGCATCATTCGGCACAAACATGAGGCCTAATCTTCTACTCATTTGCTTCTGACACTGACATGCGTATTGTTATGAGGCAGTAGCTATAATTCTTGCCACGTGTCGCTATATCGTTAGTCATACGAATTTGTCTCATTATTGGATGTGCGATTTATTAATTTTCGTCGTCAAGGTCGCTATCATAGTTAAAATTTTCAGGTGCATCATCAAGGATAAATAGGCTTTGTGTTTTATTTGATTTTTTTACCAAAACGTATATATGCCCTAAGGTCTTGGTCACGCCTTTCAAAAAACATTTTATATAATATTGTACTGAACTTGAAAGTGATGGTGTAGATATTCCTTTACCTTCATGTTCATTTACGTATATACCTGAAGGTAAAATACAAAACAAATTATTTTTCTAAGTGTGTAGATGATTCGGATATATTTCTAATCCCTCACTTTCTAGAAAATGTACCTTCCAAACTGGAGTTGTATTAGGAATTCTTCCATGAAGTGATAAAAATCTAGAGGCAAACGAACATCATGTATGCCTTTTTCAAGTCTCTCTATCGAACACTCAGCTACAACCCAAAATAAATGTAGCAGTATGGGTGTCACTTTATGCTAAAATATATCCAACATTACGCAAAATGTTTTGTCGATATTTTAGAGATGTTACGACACGTTTTCTTTTTGACTTCTCGTCATATTTGTCTTTGACCACTGATTCACTTCCTTTTTCTTTTTCTTTTTTTTTTGTAAAATTCTTCTAACGCCTTGCAAAATGTGTTATCTACTTGCTGTATTCAAAAAATGTTCTGCCTTTTTTCGCTGATATCTCCTAAGTCCGTTCAACGGTCTTAATAGTCTATTTTCAGTTTTCTCGGAAGCTGCGTCTAAGTTCAGTTTGTCAAAGCATTTGCTGGAAAGCATTGGAGTTACGTGTAAAAAGCAAAACATAAGTTAGAAAGGTGTAATAGACCAAAATTTTCGAACAGCCAAAGGGAGAGCAGTGTCGATATATTTTTTTTTTACTCTGAGACGAGCTGCTTTTCTGATTACCGTTTGTTCAATTCGTGCAAAAATATAGATCGGCTCATCTTGCACATTTATAAATCTACCATTCGTCTATGCATCGAATACCGCTGCTATATTTGGACAGCTGCTCCGAATATAGACCTCGAGATTCTTAATAAAATTCAAAGAATGATCTGCAATGTTATCAATCCTCACTTGGCATCCAGACTACAGTCACTTTTCCACTGCCGTGTCGTGATTTTACTCTGTCTTTTTCTATAAATATTTTCATGGAAATTGTTCTGATGAGCTCCTTCTCTTGGTATTTTGATGGCGTGAATTTAATGTACTACTAGATTGGCTTCCACCTCGATGCAACCGTAATTTCTATTCTAATAGTTTTTCTTCCGCACTCCCTCTAGAAATCTCTACTTCTTTCTAGCTTCTCTGCTGACTACAATCTACAAAAATTTAAATGCAACATCTATCGACATCTTCTCTCTACCCGAATACTTTCTTTGCTTGTCCTTTCTCCTCACTAAAGTCTTATTTTTTTCAACTAACAGTAACCCTTGTGCCATTATCACCTTGCTTAGGGTGAAATGATAAAGAAAATGTAGATTAATAATCAAAAGAGTCGAATGCGTCGGATATGCTTTCAGAAAAGACACCAACTGTGTTCATATAGCAAGCAAAGATTGTAATATGTAATCACCAGTGTTAGGTGATACAGAAAAATCATATTTGTTCAAACTTTCAAGACGAAGCCAGAAGAACACGACTAAGAACTGTTTATACTTCATCCCTTGCAGCTGTGTTAAACAATACAACGGGAAACCTTACCGATTCTTTAAAGTAAAGCTGAAAATATATCGAAAAGCCGTAATTAGTGATTACAGGCAAAGGTTGTCACCAGCGTTTGTGGAATTAGGTAAAAACACAAGACCGATAAAACCACTGGAGAACCGAAGAATTCTGTGCATCAAGGACTGTGGAGAAAGCCAGTCATAAAAGCAAAACATCTATAGCAGTAGTAAGAAAGCTAATTGGTGGCAGAGGAGGTCAAGCGTAACAGTAAGACGGCATGAGTAGCAAGAAGGCAATAAAAACATTTGGTTTCACGAGACTGATTTTTAAAATCAGGATTAAAGGGTTGGTCTGAGTTCCATCTCTGGATCGATTACTACCCATTTAGATTCAGTGGAAACGGTTAGCATTAAGCGAGCGGTACGAAAATAGAACACAACGAAAACGGTCTATCCCCGCAGATTAAATAATGCATTAAGTTTGAAATTCCTTGAATGTTACTCAGGTACCTGAAAAAGACGATAAGAAAAAAGATACTTGCGCCACTGTAAACAATAGAAATAACCTTCAATATGTATTTATAATTTTACAGTAAAAGGTGTTTGCACAAGTCAAAGTAGATTGATCCAGGTTGCCATTTGGATAGGATTTGACATTCTTTAAGCATGAAATATATTATAACATTTATTTTAAATAAATACAAATTTTTGATCCTTGGCTATTAAAACTGACTCCCCCACACCCTGCAAACTTTCTTCCCGCAATTCTAGTCTAACCATTAGTTTGTATTTGACGAGCTTGCCTATTTTATTTGCTCTATCTCAGAAGAAGCTACTGTCTTATCAACTCATCCCAGTAGCAGGTCAACTTGATAGGATTATATGTTCACCAAGAAATATCTTATTATAGCATAAAAAAAAGATTATTTTTTTTCATATTTTTCCATGTGAAAAGGTAATTCAGTGTCTGCAATAATTTTAAATTCAAAACCGAGTTTACCCTTTTTCTCCTCCTGTTTCTTCTTCTTCTTCTTCTTCTTCTCTCTTTCTCCTTCTTCTTCTTCTTCATCCCTCTTTCTTCTTCTTCTTCTTCTTCTTCTTCTCTCTTTCTCCTTGTTCTTCTTCTTCTTCTTCATTCTACAACTTTTTCAGATTTTCCCTTCGTCTTAATCTTTTTCTCCATTTTATACTACATTCTGAAATATATATTTTTACCATATTCTGAAACAAACACAAATTGAAGAAATAAAATGAATATTTAAGCAGCAAATAGCTTCTTTTTTTTTGACATTTTGCACTTGTGATCCAGTTCAGTCAGAATAAAATATTTGAATAAGATACAAAATATATTGACTTAATTTAGTAATTTTTTTAATATGACGTTGCATAAATACACGGACATGGTCATCCCATGCCATATAAAATATATAATTTAGTATAGAATATATATGGGGGTGCTGCAAAAGTAGATGGACAGTAATTATTATAGCAATATTACCATTATTAAAATATTCGTTCCAGCATTCATTTAATACTAGAATTATTTTAATCCATCATAATTATTTTTAGTATTTTTATTTTCATAATTTTTATTATGATACTTGCAGGTAAATAGGTAATTTAAAGATGTCTATTAATCTAACAGACGAGGTGTGCAAATGAATTTTGAAATAGTACTGTAACACATTATTGTTGATATGTTTATATCATGAATACAATACGTTTTATGTGCAAGATTTTTTTTTTTTTTTTATTACAGTATATCTACTTTTGCCCCCTGTACATATAACAAGAATAATATATAAGAATACATACATGCATACATATATATATATATATATATATATATATATATATATACATACATGTGTGCATATATATGTGTGCATGTGTATGGGTGTGTGTGGGTGTGTGTGTGTGTGGGCGAGTGCATGAGTGCGGTTGTGTATATCAGTTGATTATGTTTTTAGGAAAGTTAATCATTAGTATACACCACTATATTTTAGAGTGGATCTTTTTCATAAAAGCGATTTTCTTTTATTTCATTTCCATGCCAGTTCTACAGAATATTTGCCAAGTCTTGTCAGCTCCTCTCCTTTGAAGTCGAAAAATATACGCATTTTTTTTTTTATCTTCCGCTCGTTTCTTGCTACCCGCCGTACGTGCTATTCTCCTGCCGATGACACTATATAGAACCGAACCTTAGTGTTTGCGTGCATTTTAGAGTCTCACATAGCATTCCATGCCTATAAATTTCCCGCCTCCTTTAAGATGGAAGGCAGGGATTAACGCTACAAAAGACGAAGAAGAAAAAATATCGTATATCGCTATGTCTATCTGCTTGTTTATAATCACTAGCGTTGAAGACCGATAAAAGTGATTGGTAAATAACATTCTTGTTATGCAATCATTTATATTTATCTACATATATGTATTCATGAGTAAATCTATATCAATACATAACTACATCAGTCAGTATATATATATATATATATATATATATATATATATATTATAAATTAATTGATTTAAAATATGTTTTTTCCGCTACACAGTTCTAACAATGTTTCAAAAATAGAAGCTAAAAGCTTCGAATTTAATTTTGTAATTAAATTGAAGACATTATTTCCATTTCATCCTCAAGCGAATTTTGAAGTAACTTATTACTAATAACACATTATTATTGTTAAATAAGTTACTCCAAAGTTCGCTTGAAGATGAAATGGAACTAATGTCTTTAATTTAATTACAAAATTAAATTCGAAGCTTTTAACTTCCATTTTTGAAACATAGTTAGAACTGTGTAGCGGAAAAACCATATTTTAAATCAATTAATTTATAATATTAATGCTCTGTAAATTTACATTGAGCACTATTTTGTAAAAATAAAAATATCTATAAGAACAACCGATTATATATCTTACTGTTCTTTCTTTATATATATATATATATATATATATATATATATATATATATATATAAACCGGACTCATAAATAATTACATCGGTTACACAACTACATGCTTATACAAACGTCTTACGTTACACCTATCTGATCATAGCTCAATTAGAACCCATTTAAACACACACAAAAACTTACCAGATTCCATTAGAAACATACGAGTAGAAAACACAAATGTAATAACTTCATCCACCTGCAAAAAAATTGTTAAATAATTGAAACTTTAATAATAAAAAAGAGAAAAGCCAACTCTTAACAATATTAACTACGAACAAAGCCACAATATGCTAATTTCATTCGTAAATTAAAAAACATCTCTACAACACACTAAAACATACACATAAGGCACGCATTCAATTAAGCTGAAAAACTGAATCATCCTTGATAATGGCTAAAGGTATAGCCGAAAGCGCTCGGAACTATAAAACATTCGGAAAGTTTTTACACACACTTTGTCCAGATAAGAAAGCTCTTGTTCGAACACAAGAAAAATTAAATGAAAAGCTTAACCGTAGTACCTTGTCTGTCGTTTTTAGTGAAACATGCATAAGCGAAGGATTGCTGCCTAAATATACAACTACATATATATATATATATGTGCGTGTGTGTAGAAAGATATTATCATATATATATATATATATATATATATATATATATATGATAATATATATGTGATAATATATATATATGTATATATATATGATATATATATATGATAATATATATATATATATATGATAATCATCTATCTATCTATGTATCTCTCTCTCTCTCTCTCTCTCTCTCATATATATATATATATATATATATATATATATATATATATATATACTAAGGTAATGAATGGTTTGGTAATACATGGATATTTCCAAAGAGGATGTAATCCAGGGAGCTCAATGTAACGCCAGAACAAATATTAAATAAGTCAGAAAGAGACAACCTTAAGTTTCCATGACTGTAATTTATTTCCCCAGAAAATATATTTTCCTGGTTCATCAGGTCACATCTGTAGTTACAAACCAAATTCTTTTGTAACTAGAGATGTGACTTGATGAATCGGGAAAAATATATTTTCTGGGGAAATAAATTATAGTCATGGAAACTTAAGGTTGTATCTTTCTTATTTATTTAATTGATATATATATATGTAATTTGGTTATTGGAATTTATTCCGTATACACCAATCCTATACTTGTGCGTCTATATATATATATATATATATATATATATATGACTATTAATAGATATCTACACGTCAATGTTATAATAATAGGGGGAAAATTATTGGATATTTTGTGAGTTCGTTTAAATGAGATTTGGGGAATGGAGATAGAGTGACAACAAGGCGCAGCCTAAAAAAGATGCTAGAAGCTACTTAATGAGATATAAAACCAAAACAATTTTATTAAAATAATATGAAATCGCTTTTTTCTGTATATTAAGGATGCGCAAATTTGGTGGTGTGTGTGCTCGGAAAAGTGGGGTAATAAATTCCTTGGCAAATAACTCATTTTTTTCTAAAATTAATAGTCTCAGTGGTAGCTGAGGTAAAAAACACCAAGTTTACAATCAATATCAATCAAATAACATGAAAATATAATAAGAAAAATATCAGCGTTTACAAAACAATACAAATTACAAGGGAGAAGATAAACTAAAAGGATTTCAGCGAGATGGAACCCACGTAAAATGGTATATTTACCTTGAAGTTATTAAATGAGAATATTCTTCATAGTTCTTGTGATATGATTTGAGTTGTCAAAATTCGTGACAGAATCTGTTCGTGCTTTCAGAGTTCAGAGTCTTCAATGTAGTGCAATAGCGATGAAGTTACGGAGCGACAAGTAAGAGCAAATTCCTCATCGAGTTCAGTTAATTTAACAATATGATAAAAAGGAAAAGAAAAAAACTATTAGCATTGACATTTGCGGGCTTTATTAAAAGAGATTGGAGAGAATCAAGCGACAACAAGACACACATTAAAAAATAACAAGAGATACATAGTTAGATATAAAACCAAAACAATTTCATTAAAATAAAATAAAACAAATTTGATTATTTGTGCGCTTGGAAAGGTGGGGGATAAATTCCTGGACAAGTAACTTATTTTTTCTAAAACAATGGTTCAATGGTGGTTGCCGGAAAAAAGATAAAGTTTACAATCAAAATCAATCAAATAACATGAAATATGACAAGGAAGAAGATAAAATGAAAGGGTTTCAATGAGGTTGAATCCCTGTAAAAGGCTATATTTTCCTTGAAGGTATAAAATGTGAAGGTTATTAATAGTTCTTGAGATCTGATGAGATTCGTGTCAGACTCCGTTCGTGACAGACCCCGCTCATGAGAGACTCCGTTCGTGGCAGGCTCAGTTCGTGACAGACTCTGTTCGTGGCAGACTCTGTTCGTGACAGACTCTGTTCGTGGCAGACTCTGTTCGTGACAGACTCCGTTCGTGACAGACTCCGTTCGTGACAGACCCCGTTCGTGGCAGACTCCGTTCGTGACAGACCCCGTTCGTGGCAGACTCCGTTCGTGGCAGACTCTGTTCATGACATCCTCCGTTCGTGACAGACCCCGTTCGTGGCAGACTCCGTTCGTGACAGACCCCGCTCATGACAGACTCCGTTCGTGGCAGGCTCAGTTCGTGACAGACTCCGTTCGTGGCAGGCTCAGTTCGTGACAGACTCCGTTCGTGGCAGACTCTGTTCGTGACAGACTCCGTTCGTGACAGACTCCGTTCGTGACAGACCCCTGTTCGTGGCAGACTCCGTTCGTGACAGACCCCGTTCGTGCAGACTCCGTTCGTGGCAGACTCTGTTCATGACATCCTCCGTTCGTGACAGACCCCGTTCGTGGCAGACTCCGTTCGTGACAGACCCTGCTCATGACAGACCCCGTTCGTGGCAGACTCCGTTCGTGACAGACCCCGCTCATGACAGACTCCGTTCGTGGCAGGCTCAGTTCGTGACAGACTCCGTTCGTGGCAGGCTCAGTTCGTGACAGACTCCGTTCGTGGCAGACTCTGTTCGTGACATACTCCGTTCGGGACAGACCCCGTTCGTGGCAGACTCCGTTCGTGACAGACCCCGTTCGTGGCAGACTCCGTTCGTGGCAGACTCCGTTCGTGACAGACTCCCTTCGTGCCTTCTGAATGCAGAGTCATCAACGAAGAAAGTTGTTTTGAGAACAGTACTTGCTCTTTCTTTCTTTTTTTTTTTTTTTTTGTTACAAATTATTGTCACATAATTCTTTCATGAAAATGACAATTTGGTTGTCAAGACTTCGTTAGGGAGTGGGTTTATTTGATTCTACGCTCTGTCGACTTTTCAAATGTTTTTAGAAGGTGTCTCCCTCGCCTCTGAACTCGCGTCTCCTACCCAACCCCACCCCACTGTCCTTCGCGTGTTCTACTCCTCGGCGTAGTGTGTCCCACTGCTTGACATCACGTCTACAACTCCTCTTGGTCGCATCAACCACTGCTAGCAATGGATGTATCGCAAGGATAGTTATAGTCAAACGTCGGCTCTGATACACCCAACATATTTTGTCGGTTAACACAATTTATTGTAGTAGAAAAAAAAAAAACACTTCTGTTTTTATTTCCCTTTCCTTCGCCTCCAATTGATACATCTCCACTCCTTGGTCAAGGAGCTTTGCTGATAGGCAAGCTTGCAACGTTCAGGTTTCAGTAAATTATTATATTACCTTGACATCTTAGAAATATCGGTTATTAAAAAAAACTACAAAAACGAAAACAATTCAAGCGAAAACAACAGAAAAAAAATAATTTGGTTCAAGCACCACGCTCTACAACAATACAATAAAAACAAAAATAATGAAATATTCTTCAAAATAATTGACAAACACTTCCTTAAAAACATCCAATTATCAAAAATTATCAACAAAAATACAATCAAACTTAGTTACAAGTGCATGGATAACATGGAGAATATAATAACTGAGCAGAATAAAGAAATTACTCAAAAAATACAATAGTAATTACAACAATAACATGCAGCAAAATAACACGATTAATATTTCGCCGATAGATAACGGGTCACTCATCAAAAAGGGCAGGAATAGGCGTGGGCTTTTAAGTGACAGTCTATCCAGGTAGAATGTTAGTAATAAGAGTAGATATGATATTGCTAGATTATATCATGTTACATTAGTTAGGCTATTCCGACCATAGACTTGTCGGTACCCGGATCGTGTTAGATGCTAGGCCTAGATGGCTGGACACTGGAAGTTCAATCTGTCTTTACTGGACAGGAGGGACTTCCTTCTGGCAACAGCTAATTAGATTAGTGGGGACGGTTACTGGGAACAGGATTAGATCTTTCACAACCAAATATAGCCCTAGATAATGCTAAAAAGTTGAAGACACTACAGGATAGTCAGTCCCTGGCGGAAGCTGGAGAGGATTACCGAGACATAGGCATAGCTAGACAGGCTCTAGAGTGTGAGACTAGCGAGCTCTACCATTGTCAGGTAGTTAGGCATAGGTTAAATGGGCCCTAAACTGCGCAAGAAAGAGATCCTTCGACATTCCGATCGTTACATTCGAGAGGCCAATACCCCGGAGAGGCGAACTCTGAGATCGACCAACGATATATGTGAGGCTTTTCGGTGGTATTTCGAGAGCCAATTTCCAAAGAGCCTGATCTCTGTGGCAACTAGCTTCGAAGCTATTTGATTGACTTTCTTCGGCTTTCGTTGACTGAAACGGCTAGTTGGAAGGTCAGATCAAAGTAGGCAATGTTCACTTGGCATTGAAGAGGGCCTGCTGTGGCAAGTCTCCAATACTTGATGGTCTGCCATGCAAATTGTACTTGAGGATGTCGCACATCTTTGTTCCAATTTAGACAGTCGTGTTTAACAATTGGTTCTGGCTGGTATTTGTCCCCGACTGGATATCCACGGGTGTGATCACGCCGTTGAAAAAGTGCGATAATGGTGGGCGATATTTAGATTACAGGCCCATAATTCTGCTAAGCACAAATTTAAAGATTTGGGTCGAAGATCCTGGCGGCTCATATGCGGTCAGTTGCCATACACTGTTGGAACCTGAGCAGGCTTGTTCTATGTTCAATTCAGAGGAACCTGCATCTGTACCGCACGATCAAAGAGGTTGTAGAAAACGACGAAGAAAGGAAAAAACTGCGCTGATCAATTTGGATCAGTTAAATGTGTTCGATAGGGTCGATTATCAGTACCTGGCTGCAGTCTTTCAAGCCGCGGAAATCCATCCCAACCTGCAAGTAGATCAGCATCCTGTATCACTCTGTATCAGCGCGGTGGTATAGGTGAATGGAAGACGATCTAGCGCTTTTGCGCTATTTCAGACGGAAGGTCAGTGTTGTCCACTATCACCCTTAATTTACGTTTCGGCTTTGTAGCCTCTCCTTCGCCGACTAAGGAGTGTGCAGTCCGACCCGTCTTGAAATCGAAATCCCTCGTGGGGTCGAGCCAGGATTTCCGTGTATGCCGATGACGTATCCATTTTTGTGTCGTGCCGCTGTCGCTGATGGTTGATTAGATTAGATCTTGGAGCGGAGTGTTAGGGGAGCCCCTCCCTTACCTTACCATCGCTACCCTGTTTCTAGGGCTGAGCGCCGACGTAAACTCCGGAAACAATTGACGTTCTTCAAAGAGTCTCGAGAGGTTTTGAGGATGATTCCTCGGTCAACTAATCTAGCAAGGCCTATTAAGTTTGTGCGTCGGGCTTTAGTGGTGGTGGGGGGAGGGGTCGGACTCGTTTTTTCAACGGCTAGGCATGTCGACGGCCGAGTTACGGTCTTCTGGTCTTGGGCACCAGCGGCGAATTATCTTAGCAACCCCGAGTTTTCGCTTACCTGGGAATTGATTCGAAACGTGGTGTCTCAATGGCGTAGCCTTCTGATTGGGCTAGATGGATTTGCCCGATTGTCATTGGTGTGACATTGGTTTAGAAGAAACGGCTTCGCACGCCTTTTCCCACTCTCTTCAGGTGCGCCCGTTCTGAGACGATGTCGACGAGTTGACGGCTAGTATCGCTCTCGAACGTCTCCTGTCCATCAATCTCGCGTATGTGTTCGATAGTGTGTTTCCTCTATATTCTGATGAAAAACGAAAGGTGTTTTTACGTTGCTAGCCGTGACTAGAATGGTGAAATAGACTTTGCGATACGAACGCTATTCTTATAACGATTTGATCGGATTCTTTGGTCATCAGCTGAAGATAAAAATCAGATGTGATAGGAAACGTGTTTTTATCGACAGATTTCAGTAAAAGGTGGGTAAAAGTGGTGAGCTTGTTGCAAGTGAATGTGACCAGCCTTGATTTTATTTTTTAGGTCCCCTTTAGCGTAATGGTTTCTTGTCGGATACCTCCCCTGGTTGAGCTAGACTTCTTTGCTGCACCTGTTTCCCGTTCCCGGCGTTCTATTTGTTCATGGTCCATTTTGAGATTCCCAACCTCCCCAGTTTGTTTTTGTCACGTTTGATCTCGGCTTGGTCAGTCTTTTGACTTTCCCGTCCAATCATTTATTTTGTCATTCCCTCTCCCTTACTGAGTAAACCTCATGATTATGCCTAGAGGCAGAATACAGCGGCCGCTCGTATTTCCGTGATGTGGACGGGTTCTATTAACGTGTTTTATTTTAGTTTATTCTTTTGTTATATTTTAATTTGTTTTTCAGGTTCATCTCCTTCTCCTGCGATTCATGCAAATTTTTACCTATTTTTATATTGGAGATTTTAAGCGTTTTATATCACGAGGTTTTTTTTAGATTTCCTCGTTTGTATGCGGTACTGTGGTTTGAATTATTGGATTGAATGAAGACGGATGTGATCTTTTAGTGAATGGACAAATTATAATGCTAGGTCGTGATTATTTTAGCTAGATATAGAATAATTAATGACGGACAGCCTCTCCTCACACACCCTACGTCTTTTGGCACAGTTGTTCATTTTTTTAATAATAAATATACTAAAAAATGGTGAAAATTATAGCTAACGAATTGCACGAATATTGATACCCGCGCAGTATCGGCTGGATCACCACGGAGAGCGGCTATGATGCTGAAAGACCTGAAACACATAATGAAACTCGGCTAGAAACATCAAATATAATGTGTGCCAAAGAATCCAGCAGATCTATTTTAGAAAATGTATGTTGGCGGGAAGATCAATAGATTTTGTTTCTTTGCCTATATCAGTATGCTAAGGAGAGAGATATGATCAGGTTGAGAACGATATATATATATATATATATATATATATATATATATATATATATAACCAGTATAGGATTAGTGTATACGGAATAAATTCCAATAACCAATAAATACTATTCTGAAAAGAGTGCTCAATACAGGGTAGAGCAAATATAATTATTTATTCGAAAATTATAACATAAATATGTTATAAAATCACTATAAAAATAGCCATTTTATTTCAACACTTGTGCTTTCTTATCAAGTGATGGTGTTGATTCAACACCATCACTTGATAAGACATCACAGGTGTTGAAACAAAATGGCTCTTTTTGGAGTGATGTTATGAAATATTTATGTAATAATTTTCGAATAAATAATTATATATATATATATATATATGTGTGTGTGTGTGTGTGTGGGTGTGTGTGTGTATGTGTGTATGTGTGTGTGTGTGTGTGCATTTGTTGAATGGTGGGTTGATTCTCAAAGTTCAACATGGAAGGCAAAATTAGACTAAAATACTAGAAAAAAAATACTGCAGAATTTTAATATATATGCTTGTATATGTATATATATATATATATATATATATAGCAACCTGTCCATAACTATCTCCCTATTGACCTCAACATATCATATCTCTCTTTATATTTATCTATCTCAGTCTTATCTATCACAATTTGTTCATAATCTATATCAGTCTGTTCATATCTATCTATTTTTCTATCCATCTGAACTGATATACTTATTGCTACTTCTATTTCTAAAATAGAATATCCGTCGTTATAATGAAACAGCAGAA